GCAGCGAAGTATGAAAGCCATTACCAGCAAACTCAGCTGCGCTGGTCACTGCCGTCTTCCTGGATGGGGACCGCGAGACGGGCCACATCAATGGCTAGAGACATTGTCAGATATGGCCCAGTCGCGCCCTCAATGGCGCTCGTGCATCAAAGCTATTGCCCTCAATGCATAGCTCCTTTTTTTTAACCTACCCTTCATTTGACAGCCACTGTACCTATCCCTCCCCAAAAAAAACATCGGTGAACAAAACTGCGGCAGCTACAACCACTGTACGACGAGTACGCGGACAGCCCAGCCGACAATGATGATGATGATTATGTACGTGTGACGGTGGTCGGGAGTTTGTCAAACCGAGGAGATTTGGTCGATAGAGTCAACTGCGGTTATTACAGCCGACAATGATGATGATGATTATGTACGTGTGACGGTGGTCGGGAGTTTGTCAAACCGAGGAGATTTGGTCGATAGAACCAAGTCAACTGCGGAAGCCAGCTTGTTCTTTGCGAAGTTCCGCTTCAAAGAGAAAAAATTACAAGAATGGCCAATAATATGCTTGGACTTTCTTGACTAATTGACTAGTTTCACACTTTTCCATTGAAGATCCACTGGATCCAAGAGAGAACCTTCAGACAGCAATGCTCGGTCCAAGCGCGTGCTCCGAGTTCACATGCTTTCCGAGACCAACCTTTGTAACTTTCGTTCCACAGTAGTGTTAGTCACCTACCAGATGACAAGCGCAAGCCAAAGTCTTCACTGGAAATATCTTTTTTGTGACAGTACGAAAGATTGATGAATAAGGCTAAGAAATCACCCAAGCTAGGCAGTGTGCCTGAATAAAATGTTGAATTTGAGTTTAGCTGACTCGAAACCTCTCAGGGACAAACGAAATCCAGTGAGGATGTGCACCGGATCGAGCATGTGGCTGATTCACCCGCTGTTACGCTGATCAAACCAATTATTCTCCCAAGACCACCGACCTCGGAACCACAGTAAGCAAACGCTCGGATAAGCTTAACACATTGCAACACTGCGCATCTCTCGAGAAAGAAGTTTTATGGCAATAACTTGCTTTCGCGCTGTTCGCATGGTAAGGAATTTCTTCTGCAAAAGCGCATGAATCATTGGAGCTAATCGGGTGATTGCTATGCAAAAAAGATGCTTGAATGATACCTTTGATCAAACAATTTAGTGACCGGCACCATGGACACCCAGGAAAGCTCAAGTTGACGAGCTATCCGAATCTGAAGCGAGAGCACCAACTGAGCAGCTTCACCCAATGTTTCTCCTTTTCTAGGGCTTGTACTTCTAAAATGAATGCCGTATTCTCCTAACTATATGTACCTTCATATCCATAAGCTAAACACCCACAAAAACTCAGTTAAGCCAAAACAGCCGTCGATATTTTCAACTCCAACAACGTAACAACCAAACCAGTGTTCTTCAATACAACCCTCGGCGTACATAGTGAACCGTGGAATTCAACCTGCCCACTCGATGGGGAGAAGCTGTATATGAAGGGGTTGGTGACACGTTTGAGATCCCATACACCAGTCAACGTAAATATTAAAACATTCCAGCTTGAGTGAACGTGATAGGTGGCAATATAATGAGGGGGATCATCCGAACACAGGTAAACTATGTCAACCCTGTCACTCCCTATAGATTTCCTGGGATTTCCATCCCATCATAACCTAGTAAGCAAGTTCAAGAAGTGTTTACCTCCTTGCGACATCGTGACTTCATAGTGGAAGAGCTCAAGATTCCGACCAAACCGGGATATCCAACCATGATCAACCAAGTGGACGCAGCAAGACATGTGTGAAAATTACCTTCGTGTCGAGCGATCCTAAAGAGCAGATGAAAGAAACTGGGCGGTTTTACTGCAGGCGCCGACTGGTGCAAACTGGCGTAAACGTTTGTTTCCCCGGTAACAGGGATTTTTGCGGACAACCCAGGGGTTGAACTGACAGGGACAGCAGCCTCAACGTGCCCAATTTGCATGCGAGACTTGATCACGTCAAATGGAAATATGGCGGTCCATAACATACATCCACCGACACCGCCGCAAACAGCTACCTCCGCTGTATTGAGGTGATCTCTGTTACCCCGATGTCTAGCAAACAGTGACCGGCAAGTTTCGTAGCCACCAAAGAAGAAGAAATACCCCGGCACCTCACGAGCGAACGTCGCGCTGAGGCCGCGGGTGAAACCGACTAAACCTTCTTCTCTGAATATCATTCTCGTAACACTCCAGGGTCCACTGAAAAAGATAATGAGATGGGCGGAAAATGCGATAATTGGAACTACGAGTGGAATAGGCCGTCTGCAGTAATCAAACTTACAAGTCCACTTTGACGAACGAAAAATATATGGCTGTAAACAAAGACCATGAAAATTATGCCGTACGTTAAACTATCTTTTATAACCACTAACTGAATTCCAACGACTTTCAAGAAACTTCCACTAGTTCAGTTTTCATGCATTCTGGGAATTCGATTATTGGAATTATGAAGTAGTTAGGTTTTCCGCTGAGCCGAGTAGTTTGATCACCAACAGAGATGATATCGAGACGTTGTTAGAATGCAGATTGGAGTGTAGCGTTACACCGCTGCTACTACCACTCGGAAATCTATACTTCCCAACGAGAGTTTGGTCTCAGTTAATGTGCGTAGAAGCGGCTACGACGGCGGCGACCAACATTCACAAATCAGGCAATTAGCTGGATGAGTTAACGACTAATTGCACAACGAAACAGCTATTTCTAATTAATCAGCCGTCGAAGAAGGTGGGCATGTCGCCCAGTGACCAGGAGCTTGAAAGTGTTAATCAAGAGAAAACGTGCCCGACCCCCCTAAGTCCACCCAATGAGTTGTCTTAAGGACGAAAGAGCTCAAGGGAAGCTCACGGGTTTCAATCACACCTGTGATGGCTTTCAAAAGACAGAGCTCATGCGAGTACAGAAAAGTGGGTGTATAATAATCTGGAATAGAAAACGACAAGACATGGAAAGTGAAATCCCCGACCCTGTCTGCAAAGGTCTGTTCGGAGGGTCAATATGAGACCAGATCACTGAGCAAAATGAAACAACGCTGAGTGAGATGCAGGCAATTCCATGAAGGAACATAATGATAAGGATATCATAAATGAGCAATGCAGCTGAAATCAGTGAGTCTCCTGAGAAAACCGAATAGGTTACCATCACCGTCATTGACATCAACACCAGATGAGAACATTGGTACTTCACTAGAGTACAGCTATGTAAGCTTAGTGGAGTAAAGCCTCATAATGGAAATAACTAAACTGGGAAGCGAGAGGGACCTGGAGTTAGCCTACTGCAAATAGCCCACTAGAAATGGACAGCATCTAAACCGGTTATACCGGTTGACAACCATGTCGTTCAATGTCCCGAGTCAAGCACAGAGAGGTTTGAGTAGACCCTGTCCTGGAGAGCGAACGGCACCAACAGCGCCCAAACTTTCTGCGATATCCTTCACTCCCTTCTGCCATGTCAAATTCTGTTCACTTCTGGGTGGCCTCTACTGCGAATTGGGCACTGAAGATAAAGCTAACCCTCGGAAGGCGGCAACTCGGCAAGCATAGCACATGAACCAGACACTTCAGCTTGCAATTTTGGATACTCGCTGGTTCCAGCCGATTCCAGCAATACTTGAGACATCATCATCATCATCGACAGCATGACATCAGTGTTCAACACCGATGCTCCACTGCCGTACAACCATGACTTATTTGAAAGCCTTATTGTAAAGAAAAGAATAAAGGTGGATGGGGGAGGGACTTAGTGCTAGCTTAACACAATCATTCCGAGGTGCCTACACCTCCAGACATTCACTCAGGCAATCTGGACAGAAACTGACAACAAGAACGCCACTGACATCGGTTGGCAGCCATATCTTGTAGTGTCTCCAACCAGGCACAGTGAGGATCACGCGGTCCCCATCCTGGAAGGCGAGTAGCACCGACAGCACCCAAGCGTTTCGTGATCTCCTTCATACTCCTCTGCCA